ATTATACACTGGTCAGTTACATGGTGTTCTCACTGACGAAATTCTGTTACTGGTTACTTCTTGCTTCACTGTTAAACATTAGCTCTCCCTCTTAGTCTTTTCAGTATTGCAACCAATCTTCGCAGTTTATCCGTCAATTTCCATTCCAATCAGAGTGCTAATAATCTCTTTCTCTGATGTTTTTGAAAACAAGTTACTATTATACTCACAAGTCTCGTCAAGGTATTCAGCCTGCAATTAAAATCTTGAAAGAACAAACTGAGTTCAAGAAATAATTTCGATAACTTCTTCGTTTAACTTATCTTTTTTATTTCCATCTTACAAGAGCAAAAATCAAGTCCATATAGGGCCAAATTGAAACTCACACAAGAACTACAAGACTAATCTTATAATTTCTGTGACCCATACAAAATACGGGTAATGTGAACAGTGTGAGACAAAACAGCGGAGAAACATTTGCCATGCGCAGTTGCGTTAACGTGACTACTGAGGCTTAGCCGAGGTTTGTTTATTGCTGGTTGAAAACTTCTACCAATTACCCGCGATATTCTCTAAAACATGGGTGGTATACGAAGTTTTTAATAACCGTGGAGGCAATGTGCAGGAAAATGATGTTGAGGAAAGAAAGCCAGTCAAACTATAAAATTTTTTTTTTTCTATCTATCAAGATCTTCCCCACTATTTCAACACTTTGTAAGCATGCCAAATATCTATTCTCTGTGATTTTCCTAGAACTAATTGCCATAATCGCATGTCGAAAGAAATTTTTAGCCAGAAACAAATTTCAACATTTCTGACAGCGTTTCAGTATGTAATCAAGAAGCTCGAGATCCTTCGGAAAGTATACCTAAGAACTAATTGTACAACTCAACAAACCTAAAATAAAGAGGCTAATGAATGACTGAAAAACCACTTTGCATATAGTGTGAATATTTTACGCTTATCATCAGTGACCATTGATAAGCGTGATATATTCCTTGTGATCATTTTCAGTAGAGGTTATTAGGCCAGAGATAAAGCCGTAATGAAGATTCCTCCCCTGGACTCGATCAACCTCGATATTTATTGATATTGCTGGGTTAAGCATGACGAAGGTTCTTCGTAAACTGTAAAACATGAAAAAAATCTCACTACCGGTTGAACCCTCAAGCTTACGAACCGTGATCACGGACAATAGAAGACAAACATTCCCGATTTCGTCTCCGTCAAGAATGCCCTTTCTTAAACTCAGATATGCAATGTAGCGAGCATTAGCCAAAAAAAATGAATAAAGGAGACAATATAAGCCTTCAGAGTTCACACATGTTGTTCCCTCAATCCGATTTTCACGAATATGCTTCAAACTCCGACACCAAGAAGAATCAATCCTCACTGGTGCTGCGACAAGTAATTACCGTATTCGCATGTCGAAGTGAAATTTCAGAAATAAACAAGTGTCAAGAGTTCGGACAGCGATTCGGCATGTAATTTAGTGAAAGTGGCAAGTGTTCTGGATTCTTTTCATAACCCGGGAGAGATCTAAGACAATTCAAATAAGAGCCAGTTTTACGTATCTGAACACCTTGATCGGGGGTGAAGACAACAAATTAGTTTGTCGGAGCTATTGTGAAATAGAGGCTTAGTAACCCATATAAATAGGTTTGACAACGTTCTAACTGTTGACTGGCACTCTTGAAAGATCAATGGCTGGGTCATACAAAGTCATCAACAATGAGACAATCGTTTCTTTTTCATAGCCCTTCATTCTCGAACCTCTTTGTTAAAAGTCAATCCCGGCAATTATACTATTCTTAAATTTCAGGTGTATAATTGCCGTGGTCCTTTGCAAAGAAAAGAAACGAGAAGATTGTCTGATGTCAAACTATTTGAAAGAGGAGGCAAAAGCCGTTTGAGTTCTCTATGTTTTTTCCGGTTGGATTCAAATACCGTAAGCTGAAAAGTGTATTCACTCGAAAAACAAACGTTTTTTTGTTCTTAGTCTCTTATCGTTCATGAATTATTCGTTGAGCTTCTTGAGGATGTCGAAAATTGGTGAGCAACACCGTCGCCATCATAAAACCAATGCACCATACTCCATAAGCAGGCTAATAGAGTAATTCTTTCCAATTCCGTTGTTTTTTCATATTGAAATGTCCCTCTCATGATTATTACGAAACCTAAGACAGAATGCTGAAGTTAATAGTGAAAAAAAGGAAAATTTCGAAAATATCTTTTAGATCGATGATACATTTCGCAATATTCGATAAGGTAAATTCGTATGAAGACACTTCCCCCCTACCTTTCCAGAAAAATCACGAGACAAAGTAATCGATAAATCCAATAAGTTTTCGATTGAGGCCAATGAAATTGAAGTAACTCACAGTTCACAGAGGTCAAACTTGAAAACTGAACTACAATTTCAAAAAAAGTACTGAAAATGGAGCTCTCAAGAACAGTTTCAGATTCGGAGCAAATTCCGCAAGCGATTTCTCAAATTCAAAGATAACTGGAACTCTTACAATCGGAGATACGTCATGTTTCTTTGAAGATGTGATTAATCAGAAGCACGACCGCAATAATTCCAAAATCGCAGGAATGAAGCAATTTAATTGTCTGTCGAATAATACAGTTCACGGTTATCTGTACGTGAACAACCGCTAATCAAGTTCTTCTCCCAAGAATAAATCTTCCAAAATTGAATTCTTCAATCGGGCGTTGCTTCGATGGCTAGCAATTGTTCCAGTTCACGCTTCGTCTTTGAGCAAAATATCTGCACATTCCTGTTCGAGACAACGAAGAAAAGGATGCTTACCATCTTCAGCCAAGGATTCATCAAAGCGTTTGAACTTGCCCACATGATTGGTTTGAATTCTTCCACCTTTTACTTTTACACAAATTTAATGGAAATTTTCTGACATTATAGATCTTATCAGAATGAAAAACTTTTCACACTTAACTACCGACAACTGGCACTTGAGAATACCGTATCATAATAGAAACATCCCTAATTAATTCAAATGTTATCTTTCGCCATCAATTCATTTTCGAATTGTCGCTTCTTCATCGAACCTCGAAACGTTTGAGGTCATCTTATAAAAACAATCAAGAGAGAATTGAGACTTCCATATTTAACCACTCGACATCTACATCTGTTTAACAAGATCATATCTACTAGGCAAATATTATCAATCCTAATAAGGGATTGACAGATTGTTCAAGAAATCAAACAAAGCCATTTTCCTACTTAGAGACCATTCTTCTCTCCTCCCCCCCCCCCCCCCCCCTCTGTCTCCTGAACTAAAAGATGAATAATTTGTGATATGTGAAGGCTTGATGCTCAGTGTATCACAACTGCCATCGTTAACGGTCTTGGTTAAAGCCTATTAAATGGGAGTAAATGTTGGATCTACGACAGACTAATATGATTTTCTCGATGTTTCGCTTTTCTTCTATCATCTCAATAGATAGTAAAAGTGTATCGGATGAGTTATCTCATCCATCAATTGATGACTTTTCTCAACTGATAGCTCGAAAGTTGGCAGTAATTTGAGCAGATGACCTTAAATTCCTCTTTTCCATCTTGTCATATAGCATTCTTACGATTTGCAATTAAGAAATCGTACAACACAACATCCGAAACGCCAGTAGTCTGTTATGAGTTTTTCAAGAAGGAGCATTGAAGCTTCAACTTGAACAAATGATTTGCGTCAATTGACAAATTACACGATATTCAATGTATTCAGACTACACGAAGAGATATTTTTGAGAACATTATGTTATATATTAAGTATATTTATACAATATCATAAAATAGTTAGTGTATTACATAATGTGCAAACAACGTGTTAAAATGCTTCAAATTCACTATATGGTTGATAAATAACACTACTTATTAAACAATAATTAAATAATTTTTCGAAGCTAACACAGTTGACATGAGAAGTACATCTACGAGTAGTGAAAACATTTGCAAAGCACTGAGCACCAGTTTGTGTTTCTACACGAAATCTAAGATAATGTCCTTATTAATGCACATTACAGAATAATAGTTTTAAAGGAAAACAGGTAAATTCTAATGAATAATGAGATAGCTGTAACAGGCTGAGCACGCGAAATGTGACTTGGATGAAGAAACGTAAACCCTGTTCATAAGACACAATTATTAAAAATAATATTTTATAAATGCTCAGCTTGCTCTACTTGGGCGCAATGGAGAGAGAGATTAGACCGGTCGATCTGTGCACAAAATTATCTTCAACCATTCTTTGTGAACCGTTATGATTGTTAACTATAGGATATGGTTTTGCGCTAAGGAAAATCTTATTTGATACAATCAAGTTGTTGGACAATATTTATCAACGTTTTACGCAGATTAGCTATACTATACCATATAGTTAGCAATACTTAACAGAACATCGTACCCGGATAACTGTGACGTTAGAGTGAGAGGAAATTGAGAAAAGGGAAAAATGAAGGAGTGTAGAATTGAGAAAAGTAATATGAAAGAACGTAGCATAATCTACAGACTGTTTTTCTCCTTCGGGAGAGGTGGCCAATGAGAAGAAAAGGGTTGGCAACAACGCTTTGAGGTAGGGAATTGTGCATGCCACTGATGTCAGATATTAGTCAAACTATTAGTATGTTGAAAAATAAAATGAATATGAACAATTATAAAAAAGCTGTTTGATATGAACTTCTACAACTGCACATAACGAGAAATTAACAAAAAATAATCTATAATATGCAAGTAAGGAGAAAGAGAACGGTGAAGCGAATAAAGGACAGGGAACTCTGTTAAGGTTATATCTTGGTTGACGAGTATTTTCTACCTATTTAGATCGATCTAACGATCGAATTTAAACTTCTATACATTGTTTCCGTTCATTGAACATTCTGGCATGCTTAATGAGGATCATAGTGCTAACATTTGTTGTTGGTTAGCCACTTCTTGTAAGGCCTGATGACTTAAAGTGACGTCATTATCTTCTTCGACACCATCTTCAACCTTAAAATTAAAAGACTTATTAACCATAAGGTGAATTTATTCGAACCTCTGCTTCATCACCATCAGATTCACTGTCAGAAGCGTTATGATCCAGGGAGTTGGTAGTTGTACCAATAGGAGAAGGTCCGCCCATCGACGATGTTAAAGGTGACGGTCCCGATGATCCAGAGGCAGAAACTAAAAACGAGTAAATAGATGAAAAGTCAAGATGTTGAACTATTGTACCTCTATCTTGGAGATCGGAAGACATTCCTCCTTCACTATTGGCATATGAATATTCACAACGTTTCTTCCGCCTACAGAATTTACACCACATATGTTCATTTCCAACTCCAAAACGAGCTCTGCATTTCTTGGAATCAACTCCATCTGTAATAACTTGAGATTACAACAAGAATGTTCATTGATCTTCATATTTGCTGATTGTGTGCTAAATCTCTTCTACTCTTCAACAAAAAATCAAGAGGGATACTGTAGTTTGCGCCACAGAATTAATAGAATATCTGTCGAAGTGTTAATGATCATAACATTCACTCGAAGAATAGTTGTTGGAGCCCTTCCACTGTATCCGACACACGAATCACCGCCCTCAAGTGCCGACGTGAACAAGACTTAGTGCTTGTTAAACATCTAACCGCACCTATCTTCTCTCTGTCAACTATTATATCCAATTGTATACATATTATTCTCAAGATATTGTCTCGAGTATTTGCTAATAAGAGCAATAACAACGATCTTATACATGGCTTCCACTAATCAGAAAACACACCCTTGTTTTTCTTGTAAATCAAACTAACCGTCTGCTTTATCTCTCCTCCTCTTCTTCCGCTTATGAACAGCATAGTTTTCACGAGCTGACCACTGTGGATACTTCTCTTTATGAGCTTCACGGTCTTTCTTTGCTAAGTCGAAGTACTTCTGTTGCTCTTCTTTTCCGAGCTCATGCCACCGTTTACCGAGCTCTTTGTTTAATTCGGCACTTTGCTTCTCCTACAAAAGGGGATTAGAGATGATGGAGGTGAGAATGGAAAAACCTTAAATCCGAGTTCCTCAATCATCTTCGGTCGGTTCTCTTTCATGAACCACATAAAGGCGTTAAGTGGCTTTTTAATATGGTCTTCCTAAACATATGCATCAGAAAACAGAACATCAGCCATTAAAAAAACCTTCTTAATCTTTCCATCTCTTGTTCTCTTGAGCATGTTAGGCTCTTGCATGTTATTATTCGACATAGCCGACTGTCCATTATTGTACGGCATTCTCATTTGGTTCATCTGAACAAACACAAATAAATAAAGTAGAGACAACAGTTAAACTCACTACCTGGTTCAATGGGTTTCCACGAGCTGCAGCAGCTAATGGGTTGAGACCTGGCTCCAACTTTACACCTGCCATGGCACCATATAAAGGTGACCCTGGACCAACCATTAGGTGCTGCAGTTGCATGAAAGACGGACTCAAGGCAGCAGCTTGTGGCATGAAACACATGGACGGAGACATTGGTGGTCTCATATAAGCCGCTGTCCCCTAGAAATTGTTGTTTTAGCTCATAAATCACCACTCAGTTCATTGTATTTCTTCGAGTATAACATCCGCAGATCTCGAAATTCAAAAAAACTAAGAAACACTAACCATCATCAGCCAAGGATTACTCATCATAGCGTTGAAACTTGGGCTGAATGCCGCCATTTGGGGGAACCCTAAGGCACTAAATGCCGGGGAGGGTTGTGGCTTCGAGAAAGCGCCAGATTTGGAACCTATAAATAAGACGAATAAATAGGTAAGAACAAATAGATTTTATCAAAGATGTGGTCGTGAATCATTGGAATACGCCCACATGATTGGTTTGAATTCTTCTAACTTTTACTTTTACACAAATTTAATGGAAATTTTCTGATATACAGATCTTATCAGAATGGACAAAAAAGAGAAGCACTGTTTGCTGACATCGCAAGTTCGACTGGGACTATTAGAAAAGGCACAGAGAAATCAAAATGTGAGACAGTTCGTTTATCATGATTTATTACTCCGGCAGGAAAAGGTTTAAAAACTGGAGGAATTTCTACTCAGCATCTCAATTGATATTACTGTCCAAGTGTCTTGCAGCCCCTGCGCTGCACAAAAGTCTCGGACATCTTAAAGCCGATTAGTTCTTTCATAACTTCTCTTAAACAATAGCCGAGAGGGAGCCGTGGGGAAGACAATGGCTATCACTCAGCATGATGCCAATCCCGAAAACAAGGCTAATTACTGTTTGTACACAAAAAATACTTTGTGTATGTTCTTTTCTCCACACATATCACCAAAAACCCCAATTATGGCCCCTAGAACCAGTCAGAGCAAAAACCTCAATCAAACAGAGATAAATCAACTGACGAATAGGAAAACCTAATGGAAACGGAAAATCTCTTACAATCACGACAACTCTCTTTTTTATCATATCGCCTAAGCAGTCCGAATATCCAAAATGAAAAAAAATAATTGATATAGATCTCTACATGATGGGAACATGACGATTCGAGGACGATAAGGGTAACAAAACGACAGGTGTTACGCATTCAAATGAGGCACCACAGCAGCATGCCACAAGAGGAGAGACAAATAGCGTCCTAAACCTTCTACATCGCAATGAATGCAGATTTTCTAGCTCTTTCCCCCCTGTTAACCACCTGTATTCGGGAAAAGTGTACAATATTGACATAAGCAGTGCTAAAACTTAGGACGTCGATAGGTCATAAGTATGGCAGATTGAATATTATCTGACATGAATACCCAGTCTACCTATGTCAAATAGAGAAAGGATTACCAAGCATAACACTAATGGAAATGTCGGCAGTGTGGGCTGAGTTATAACAAAAGAATACTCCATTTGGGAATGAGAATCTGCTTCATAAAAAGAGCATAAGAAATTCGCGCGTGTGGTCAAACGAAAGAAAGAATAACGGACTACGCAACAGGCTCATAAACCGGATAGAATCAATCACTTCTTCCTTCCCAACAGATCAATAACAGTGATAAGCAGCCCGTTTTCTTTTAATGATGCCGCCATTTCACACTCAGGTGTAGCTTCATACATTTGTACATAAGTGACAACGAAGAATTATTGTATGCTAATCATATGGAGCGAAATTCCGAAAAAAGGCGCAGCTGTGGATAGGTAAAGCAAGGAAGCGGATCAAGTAGCACAAGCCTAACAGATGTCGGCAACATTAAAGCAAGGTAGATGCACATGGCTAGTAACTTAGAGAAAATGATGAGAACAAAGTTTGTTCAAGATATGTAACCATACATAAAACTAAATCAAGAAAATGAAAAAAACTCACCAACTAAATTCTCCGGTGGTCGGCTCTCCAGTTCTGCTTCTAGAACTACATCTTTCTTATCTTCTGCCAACTGATGACTCGATTGTGGATCGAGCTCGTCGATATCCGCACTTCGGAACACTTTGACCTCATCAGCGTCGTCGGCCATGATCACAGAAGACAGGTAAAGCTTCGTCCGATATCTTCCGAACGCGAGTACGTCGTCTTTGTGTCACAGAAACAGCCGCCTACTAATGATAATAACGTTCATTGGACGCCTATACCTACGCTGCGTCCCTAACCCACGCGGTATCTCTATGTCTGTGTTCTGACCCTTACTCTACGGGAATAGATGAACCCAAAGACAGAAACCCTCCCTTTGGGATGACACGGAAGTCTGGTACAGTACCCGGGACCACACGGCAGTAGTTTTCAATCCTCAGAGCACTAACACTCTTCGAAGTTGTGAACAACTACATAAAATGAGTGATCCCGGTAGCGTACCACATCTCTTGCCTATGGTAAGGCGTTCGTTTGATTGCTCTATTTTGATGTTAAAGTGTATTAAGCAGAGGTAAGAAACTGTAAGGATGAGTCCTTGAAAAGGAACAGTGAGCCATCACAACTCAACCTACAGCCGCTTCCCTCTTATACAATTGATTATGGCCTTGAAATTCAAATCGGCAATCAAACGACACAGAGGTTCAGCACATAGCCAGAACAGACATAAAAATCGACACCTTATGGGTTAGAGACACGCGCAAACTTAAAAGATTAAGAACGATACGATAAACGGTGTGAAACAAACATTGACAGTTCAAAGAATAACAGAAGGTTACAGATATAATAACTAAGAAAATTCAAATTGACAAGCGACACTAGAGAATCGGAACGAGAGATATTCGTCTAATAGGAATGAGTGAGAAGTAGACGAATAGAAAAAAAGATGACCATAAAACTAAGAGAAAACGGAAATAACAAAAATGAAGAAAAAATTATATTCAAGAAAGAATACCCCGCAAGCACGAAATTACGGATCAGGTAAGGTGATAAGAAAGAAATAGAAAGCGCAAACACAAAAAAAGTGAATCATAGCCTGGGGGACTTGAAAATGATAATTAAAGTCCATGATGAAAGAAAATAAATGCTCGAATTCAGACTGGCTGACTGCCCGTTTTTGGATAGATTGCTTTCCATTGGAGTCCAGCAATCGTATCCGTGTAAGTTAGGCACTAAATCAAGTGCGACTCTTCGTCTAGTCGTTGTCGGTTTGAGCGTCCTTGATTGCCTGGTGATAAAGTGAGATAGTTGTGGCTGTCACAATTTAAATCACAATCTACTGCAAATTAGATGGAAGTAGTAGATATCGAGCCAACCCAAACACAAATGAACTAGCAATCTAAACTCTTTTTATGGTCAGGAGATGATACAATTTGTTGAGTTAGTTAACAACTGAGAGCACAAAAAGCATTTGACTTGTACAGGTCAGAAAATGTTCCTCAAATTCTCCATTCAACAGTCGGAGCAGATTGGAATGCTATGGGATGCCAAACCTCATATGAAGAAAGCAAAGAATATTAAGGGACAGATGTTCCTTAATGGCTCATGCAAAAGAAAAGACTAAGCAGAGAGGAAAGGAATATTTTTGAAGAAAGCAACTACAAGGACCAACTCTTTTGTGTGTTATCACACAAGTTTAGAAGCCCGTTGTTTTCTTCTTCCGGTTAATGTTTACAATCGCAAACCATGAATTAGAAAAAAAAATGAGAAAGATTGGCAGTCAAGGATGATGAGCAAGAGCACGTGTCGAAAATAATGAAGATATGATGAATTCATATTAACTGGCAGGTGACAATTTGAAGTATTTTATTCATAATGCTTAAGTGATGTTTTTAGCTAAGAGGTGTAGAGTGTGAGAGGCGTATTGAAAACCTGAACAAATGTTGTGATTGGATAGTTTGTCTGTCGTCTTGCAAGATGAAGAGGTGTTGATAATACAGCAGAACAAAAAGGATAGCGTATGATAAGAACGAGAAGGAAAAAAGAGAGCCCTAAAGTAGAACGCCGTCCCTTTCAAGAAATATGCAGGTTAAAGACAGAAATGATGTAGGAAGAGGCAAGCACAACGTTACTTCCTATTTTGAGCATATAAAAGACAGCGCCTCTCCTTCGGAGTTTAATCGCCTTTCTTTTCGACATCCTCGTGATACGGGATGTCAGATCTTAATCTATTAATTTGATCTTCTATCATAAAGAAATGCCTTCCTGTTGAGCTAATGGCTAGGATTGAAAAGATGAAGCTATTATGATTGTCAATTTCATACTCCGCTTATAACAGTAATTAGTGCCTATCAGAGATACTTCCTACGCTCTGCCAGATACAACAAACATGGTGAAAGAAGTGATGAAGCAACGGATGTGCCAGCTGAAAGGGTACATTGCATCAAACAGTAGACTAGACCGGAGAAAAGACGATTTTTCAAATCTGCCTCTCATCCATCAGAGCAGGCTCGCCAGCTCTCCATCAAGCGCCTAGTCCGTGCCGACACTCTTCCTTTATACCAACATATCAACCAGCATTTTTTAATAAAAAAAATTGCTTAATAAGGATTTGTTCTATTCGAACAATTCCTTCCACACAGTTCGGAAGAATGGTCAACAGAACAATAGTAGAACTATGTTGCAATTTTTTTTTTCGGAAACTGTTTAATGCAGATGATAAAAAAATCTTCAAGAAAACTGTAAAGTTTTAACAATAACATCACTGTTTGCCCTTTGAATATTTTCCATGTGCATGTCTATCTCTTTCTGTTTTGGAAAGACCAGAAAGCAAGGGGCCAGATAACGAGCGGAACCGTTTTCTCATCGTTTCAAGGCATTTTCATCCCAAAAAAAGTATAGCGACACTAAGAAAACCTCCAGCTATTCAAGGACGTTTTTCACATTTGAATTTTGTCTGGACCATTTCATATTCGTTAGCACTAAGGAATCGGAAGATGCTGACAATTAGGCGCGGGCGTGGTTAGCTTAACTTAGTAGGAGGAAGTATGATGAGAATTTGCCAAAGTAAAAAATGCTTGCGACCACTTAAGCAAACATAGATCGAAAGAACAGGGATGATAGAAAATGTTTAAAACTTCAGGGTCAAAAATATAAATCATTTGGCAACAAACAGGTGCTCTCCTTTTCTGTTATCTTTCACACTCCATTTGTAGCTACTTCCTTTTCGAAAGACAAAAGCTCAGCTTTTCATGAAATTTTCAGAACTACTGTTTCACACAAAAAACATGAAAAGAGAATTTATGAGAAAACTCAAACTAAAAAGGCGTTAAAATTACAAAAAAAGTCGAGATAGCTTTAACAAAAACAAGAGAACGATAAGAATTCTTCAATTCCAATGCGCCTGTTCAAGTTGAGAATATTCTACCGTATTTGAAAAAAACTGATTTGAAACTTTATTCTAGTATAAAGAAGGATGTGAGATCTTCTGAAGGTTTACGATAGGCATATATAGAAAATAATGGCCTAATCTCACCTAGCACTCAACTAGCAACCTCTCCTTAAATCCTTCACATATTGTAATTCTACCGTTTCCTAGGACAAAAGGTATGACCAAAAAATGAGTTGAATACAAAGCTATTCGATTCATAATTTGAAATTGAGCCTAATTATTATAAGAATTTACCTCCTGTTGGACAGTTGAAGACAGCACTAAGCCATCAATTTTGACCGTCTGCCCAATATTTCAGACATTGACAGACGATCCAAAGGCAAGGATGACAGCTCATTGGGGTCGATTCAAACGATAATGGTGGCACTCGAATGGCTTCTTCTACTGTTAGAGGAAAAAAATCGAAAAGGCCATTCAATATTGAATTTCTTATTCAAGTAGTTCAGCAGCAAAGTTATAAATAGGAAGAATTCACCAAAACTTAAAAAAGAAAAAGAATATCCTCGCAAGTCTTGAATTATGAGTACAGAGTATCAAGAAAAAAACTGAGCAATGAAAGCTTCGCCTAATGACAGTTAGCAATAGGCAGAAGAAAAATTTGAAATAGCAAAAGAGCAGAAAGGTGAAGAAAACAGCGAAAGACAGAGGTTGCTGATGCAAGGGGCGTGTCTGTGTCAGTTGGTCCGCTGCCAGCAAGTGGGCGGAGCGTTTGATGTTGCACATAAACACGCACACACATGGTAGTATAAAAAACTACTACTTCCAATGATGAAAGTGTTACTTCAAACTTAGTGAGCCATTTCAAATGAGAAAACGTGAAGACTTCAGAAGAAGCAAGACAATTTAGAGCTCAGTGAAAATGGAGTCAAAACAGAAAAAAATTCTTAAAACTAAAAGTATAGAAATCATAAATGAGCGAGGCCGACCTTATATGCTATATGATTTGATATTCATTTCGAATACAACTACGTATAAAAATTGGGCGGAAAAGATCAAAGAAAGTTCGAAAAGATAGCAAGTAACGTAAGGGACATAAATAAACGCTTACACGAAAATATTACATAAACTGAGAGATTAAAAAAAAGATACCTCGAAATAATTAGTGTGATGAATATTCTCAAGAAAGAGACGCAATTGCGAGCAACCGTATTCAGTGAGCGAAGAAAATAAAGTGAAACGCCAAAACAACGAAATTTCATATCAGTGCTTTTGGCGGTTTGTATGCTAATTATCCGAAGATACGCAACTGTACTTACTGTATTTTGTAAACAACGGGCGACGAGGATATTGGGTTATGAGTGAAAGATGAAGATAAGGAAAATAAAAATGAATACATTACATTGGCAATGTTTTAAATGTATGAAGGTTGTGTCGCCAGCTAGTGGGCGGAGATCAACCATCTAGGCAAATAGGGGTTACCGTATCTCTTCTCCGCTATGAATCGGAAGGGCTATAGGTATAGGTGCTTGAGGAATGGAGCTGCTCAATCAGTTCGCTTGAGCAGTTAGACAATGGATTGCGAATACAAAGCAAGACGAGGTTGAAGGAATAAAATAGAGATTTCGACAGTAAATAGTCAAGTAAGCAATTGGGGCTTTTTTGAATTTTTTCTTAGAAAAAAACGAAACATTTTTTCTATTGGATAAAAACACTTAAGGAGTTTTTCGCATAGTCTTAATTCCTTAAGAACCGATGAAAAAAACGAACTTAAGAAAATA